CAATCCCACAACTCCTTGTGACCAAGACACCTGATAAAACTGCCCATCACTGACTTCTACCAAGCTGTGAAAAAGATTCTAAGAGTTCTGGTCATAAAACTACACAGATGCTTAATCTAATTCCTAGTAAGATCCATTAAACTCTGATGCGCCCGGTCTGGCCCCAGAGGCAAGCCTTAATCTTCATCTATTTTACTTTCCAAATGACAGAAACTGCCTTAGAGTAATAGAAATATTTCTCTACCAGGAGCTAGGACTTCAAATGTAACAGCATAACTTTGAATACAGAAAACTTTAGGGAACATGATGAAAAAAAAAAAAAAAGAACATACACCAGCTGTTTTTTTCGTTCTTCTTTTTAAAATCTTTTTGCAAAAAGAACCAAACTACAAAAGGAAAACATACACAGTTTCAATGCCTGCCACCAGGTAACATATTCCTTGAGGTCAACTACTGTTAAGTTTTATGAAGCCTATTATTTGTTTACACTAAATCCAACTGCTCTGAATATGGCATATTATCCAGCATTTGTAAACACCACAGAAACTGAAATCACGTATCTGCACACTGCAGATATATGCAACTGGGTTTGCAACACACTGCAAAATATTTCTGTTCTACAAACAATTTAAATACCAATCCCTGGTCTTTCTCACAGTGCAAAGACTAGTAGCCATAGTATATAATCAACACCTGATCTCTCTTGTAAAGCCCCCAAGTCACATAAAGAAATATAAACAGATTTCAATGACCAAAAACATGAAATTAATAACACAAGCCAGAATCTACATTATACCAAGTGACTTGTTCTTAATTCTGAGTATATATTCTGTTCAGTTTCTAATTAAGTTGGGATTTTCAAACATCAGAGTAAAAATAGTTGACATAGTTCTAAAGCCAAGGGTGTTTTGCATATAAAATCACTTAGGATTTCTTTTACTTTTCGAGAAAACTGTTATTCTCTTCAAGTTATAAAATGCAATAATAATAGTAGTAGTAGTAGTGGTAGTAATCTAAAGGATCCCTGCAAAAGCCAAAAACTCATAGAACCAAGAAGACATGGCTGAAATAGCCCAAGATGCCTACACATAAAAATCTTCTAAATGAAAATATAGCAAACACATCCTATAACAGTTTCTTCATTCTTTTGGGTTGGCCAAAAAGTTTGTTTTTTTTCCATAAGATAGCTCTAGTAGCGCTTAGTTGTCTTTAATTTTATTTGAAGTAATTTTGTTAGATTGTATTGTGACAGCTGTCATACCAGTGTGCATTTTTTTAAAAAACTTATTAAATTGGTGAAATTTTGTATAGCCATTTTAATATTGAAGATGGAAGAAAATATGCAACATTTCCAGAATATGATGCTTTATTATTTTAAGAAAGGTAAAAATGCAACTGAAACACAAGAAGATTTGTGCCCTGTATGGAGAAGGTGCTGTGACTGATCAAACATGCCAAAAGCGGCTTGTGAAGTTTCGTGCTGAAGATTTCTCATTGGACAATGCTCTGTGGTCGGTAGACCAATTTTAGTTGATAGCGATCAAAATGACACATTAAGAATAATCAATGTTTAAACCACACGGGAAATAGCTAACATACTCAAAATATCCAAATCAATCAAGGTATAGGTAAAAATAAACAATGTGACTTCTATTTTATGGAAAAAAAATAAACGGACTTTTTGGCCAACCCAGTACTAAACTAAAAATGTCTACTATCCAAAATCTTATTTGTTACATTTTAATTCGGATAACTTCATTTTACAAAGAAGAAAAAATACATAGGTTTTTGATTACTAAACTGGATGATGGCAATTATCTCCAAATAGCTTACTTAACAGTAAATACTTCTTTCTTTAAAATACTGGAAAGATTAATTGTTACTAAGCATCCACAAAAAGTTATATATTTACTATTGGACTTTAGAAACAGTAATCATAGGAAACATTACGCAGCACCAATTATTTTGTTAATAAAAAAAAAAAAAAGATCAAAGGGTAAAGGATATGTGATCAGAAAGGTAGCCACTGATGAATGATGCAATAAAGGAGAAATGAGAAATCTATTCACTAATTCTAACTTTTCAAGGCAAATTCTAATTCTAATTCTAATTCTAATTTGATTTAATTCTTTTTGGCCAAAGCAAACAACCATAGGTGAAAAAAGCATTTCTGCCTTCAATTCCAACTTTAAATCTTAAGCACAATAAATCAAAAATATACATAAAGAGGACATAAATGTTTCCTCTTTAAAAATGTATTCACTGTATATCAATGTTTGTTTTCCACTGTATTGCTTTCATTAAGTAACTCCCTACATCCTGTTTTGTATTATGGGTATTTTCTCCATCAGTCTCTCAGGGTTTAGATCTCTACCTCACTTTAGATGTGAGGAGAAGATTCTCTTAAACACAGACTTCAGCCAGTGATTCTCAAATGGTAAATAGTGTCACACTTCCATAGAGGGTATTTGGAAATGTATGAATGTGTGTTTTGTTTAATTGTCACTGGGGGAGTTCTACTGGGACTTAGAGCCCAGAGGTTGCTAAACAAACTGTGATTTTTCATAAATGGTTATGTAAGAGCAGTTTTTCATAAGTGGTTATCCCACTGAACACACCCATATCTATTTCATAGTGAAACAAACCAAACTGGCCGCTACACTCATGCATACAGAACAGCAAGCTTTTCCTAACAATTCACTCACTGCCCTGGCACACCACCGGCCCAGCTGCCTCTGCTCAGCACGGGCACTTCAGCCCTTCCTCTGCTTCTCTAAGGTAACTGCTGCTGCTGCCTGAACCAAGATTACACATTTCCTTTTCACTAAGTTCTCTGTGTTCTATAGAAAAAAAAAGTTTTTAACTTAGTATCCAAAAACAATGCTCTGGATTCTTTCTCCATCTCAAGAACCATCTTCAAAGAATTAGTGTTGGAATTACTTTTCTTGCTAAATAATAAGTATTCACACATGTATAGTTCTATTTTTTCACTAGTTGAAACATGCCATAATTTCACAAGCATCATCCTACAGCTAAATGAAAGACCAATCTTCCAATACTTAAGAGTTATTACATGTGAAAAATTTATTCAGAACTGAAATCATTCTTTCCTTGCAGAAATTCCTTGAAGTTTTCTTTGGTTTTTAGAAATAAAGAAAGACAAAATGTACCATAAGCCTTTAGACATAGAATAAAGTTTAAAAAATGCATTTTCCCAAATCTGACTATGTATAAAGGCTTAAACACAATACCCTTATACTTAAGGATCAGAGCTATTGATCAGAGATTAATCAAACACCTAATCTTGTATCAAGCAGCTAAAAAACCCATTTTTATGAATCAGTAGTTTCTTTTTATTCTGCTTTTTGGGCAGAGATCTCCCAGGTTTCTCTGTCAGGAGTATCTGGCTTGATCCCTGACTAAAATGTAAGCCTTGGCTCTATGGCACTTGATTTCAATTTTTTAAAAATTATAACCAATCTTTTCACCTAAGGGGTTATCTCTTTTATTAACTATTAGTCATTTTACCCCTAGATTCTTAGTGCATGTCAAACACACTGCTAATTATTTTATTTGCATTATCTCATTTACTTTTCACATCAGACCTGAGATGGTATTCATACTGCCCCCATTCTACAGATGGGAAAACCAAGGCTGAGAACAGTGAATAACTTACCCAAGAACACACACTGAATAAGGAAGAGTCAAACTGAGGCCTAGCTAATGCCAAAGTCTAAGTTCTCAAAGTACTACAACAATATCTCTTGATACCAGAATATACCCCTGAATTTTATATCAAATCCAAAGAATTGCCAGCCACTTCATACAACCACCTGAGTTCTCCTGCAAAATGTCGTTAACACGTTAGAATTTGCTTGGCTTTACATCCGCTAAATTGGATAGACTGTACTTTGAGACACAGAGCTTTATATTAAGACACTGTTAGACAATGAAATCCTCCAATTAACAACACCCATTTACTCAGTAAAATAAATTCTAAGTATGACACCACAGATAAATAAACACTGGTAAACCATTTTTCTTTTACCAAATTACATTATGTTGCATAGCTACATTAAAAACAGCTACCAGATATTGACTGCTTACTTTGTGTCAAATGTGATATGATCTCTAATGTAGACGGTATCTATCCTCATTTTACATATAAGGAAACTGAGGCTCAGAAAAAGATCTGCTTCACTCGGCTAATTACACAGGAAAGCCAGATCTATCAGATTCTACAGCCTGGTGGGCTCTTTCTACGACAGCAGAAGAAAATGTTTCAAAACACTCCATAAAAAGCTGTTTGGGGGGAAAAAACACCCTGCAAGTCTTTTTCTTTCTCTCACACCACACCCTGTAAGTATTCTGCTAAATAAATTAGTGTCAGCATATACTTTTTTGAAATTTTAATTTATACAATTACTTCATTAAAAAACCAATAGGCTAAAAATATTAAAATTAATTAAAGTATCTATTTTCAATGTGTCTTAAGAATAAAGATAATTCTATATAGCAAATGAATGTATATTACTGTTAATTGGTTATTAGGCCTAGGTTAGTAACTGAGATTAAGTGGTTTTAGAAATACTAATGTTATTTTATACACATCAATACAAGTTAAGTCAGAATGTTAATAGAAAACCCTTAGAATGGTGCCTGTTCCATTCAGTAATGTTAAACTTAATCCACAAAATCTATGAGTGTTTAGTATATCCAAAATTTAGTATCTTCAAGGTTCTCTAAAATTAGAGCAATTATTTTTTGGAAAGAAAAAATTACTAATTTCCTAATTGTGCCATCAACAGAAGCAACTGGGTTTGCTAATAACAAAATGCTGTGAAATAAGGACTAAAAGAACTGAATTACACAGATTGAAGCTACCCTTGAAGACAGCAGCTTGAATGGTTCCATGGAATGGCAGCATTCTAAGAGTCAGCAGCTACTAAAGCCCCCACCTATTAGTTAAAGATGAGAGTGAAGGGGCAAGGGTACAGTACCTGATGATGGGCAGGTCGAGGCCCCGCTGCAAACTGAGAAAAGGAGGGAAAACAAACACAAAAGGAAAGGCACAAAGAGTCAGAAACACCACAACAAAAACCAAAATGTCACACAATATGCCAAAAGAAAAAAAACCCACAAGGAAAAAAAAAAAAAAAAAAACCACAAACAGTCAAAGCTTTGCTGCAGGACAGTGACAGACAGGTACTAAGATTCAACAGGTTAACACCACTACCGGAAACAGTTTGCCATCTATGAGCTGGGAGAGAAACAGCTAAGCTGTTAGGCATGAGTAAGGGTGATTCTCCAATGGGGGGGGGAACCCTAAAATTTTTTTTGAAATACTGAGTGGTTATATTAAAACAAATGTATGAAAAGTCAAGTGTGCTTATGCAACTGATACAGCTGGAGGGAGTAAGAAATGCTTTTATATTACAAGAAATACCAGGAGGTAATAATACTGTCCAACAGGAAATAAAGAATATAACAGGACTGATGTCAAATTTATTTAAGTTAAATGGGGTATCTCACACATGAAATGGAAGTTTTAGTATCTTCCTTTACTTCTTGGAGTTAAAGAATAAAATTTTATTCATATATTATATTTATGTATTATATTACATTAAATGTTTATAATCTATATAGTTATATATAATCTAGATATATAATCTGTAAATATATATAATTACATGTTTAAATTCAATTAACTAGTAAAATTTAATAACAGGCATATCAAAACAAACAACTAATGAAGAACATCACTAACACAATTAATTGAAGTTGTACTATATAAGCTCAAGAAGAAAAAGTAGAAGTCAAATCTCTCACTCACTATTTATACACAACAGCACAACACTGTACATATGTACCTACTGCTATCTGATACTGAGAATAAATGCAAAAGAAAACGTTAACTTCTCAGCTAAGTCTTTGAGTACCTGAAAACAGGTAATATGTGGTTCCACTCTTAATTCCCCTAGCTTAGAATGGAAGAAAAGGCTTATTCATCCATAATATTTTATTTAAATACTAAATCTCTAAGATCAAATCATTCTTCATCAGGGCAAAACTGGGCTTCTAAAGTGATTTTTACTAAAAAGGATGGAAAAATATTAGGGTACCTACTGTCATGTACTGGCTACTAATATACTAAATATTGTAATGTTAACCACCCTCTTTAAGAGTGAAAAGAAAATACTTAGAAAGCAGTTTTTGAATGCAAACCGTACTGGATTTTAATTTAACACATTTAAGGAGCTAAAATATATTTTTTCAGTTGTGTTATTTCCTATGGAACCTTCCTTCTGTCATTTCATCACTACAGGTGAACTGAACTGAAGCTTACATAAGAAACAGTCCTCCATACCCAGATGTTAGTTATCTGCAATAGTATTTGCAAGAGATTCATAATTATTTCCTCAATTATCATTATATCATATAAAAATATGCAAAAAATTACAGTGAAGCACATGCCACAATATAATGCCTGAAAATAGCTCCATCAGGAATTCACCTCAGAAGCTAAAATGTCACCTATTATTCAGATAATGAAAAGTACCTTAACATATTTTTAAGTTATTCAGCATAACTTGATGAGTTCTCTATGACCTACATGATTAGGATGTGTTAGGTCATCTATTAGATTTGCTAAACACTGTAAAAATAGTTTTTCAGAATGATGATAACCGCTGCTTTAGTTCTTGCAGAACATTTTCTCTTCAAAGAAACTGACATCTATATATTTCAGTTTTCCAATTATGAAAACAGAGCATACCTCTACTATGAACATAAACTTTCAAGAATAGGCAACACCACCCATGTGGCATGAAAGTAGGGGGTAGAAGTGAGATGTTTCTTCATGACACTTTTGAAGAAAAATAAAAGAGAACGGCCATGTTAAAAAATTAACCAGAGTACAGCAGTACCTGTCTTATCACTGTTCCACAGAAAGGTTCCCATTTCTAAGGCTCTATAATAAAAGTTAAAACTTTATATATTTCAAATGTTCCAGTAGAAAGAACTTTCTATGAGCAAAAGGAGTACCTTATAAAATTATACATATATTTTTTAAAAAACCACAATTTAAGTTAGTGGAAAAGTACCCTAGTCTATTTTGCACTAGTCACCATTGGCTATTGAGTTTTTTATTTGAAATGACAATAGTCTTAATCCTATGGGTAACTGTAAGCAACAGAACAAACTGTAGTCGCTGCTGGCTCATATGAAAAATAGAAGCTTTCTTTTTTCTTTTTCTTTTTTTGAAGAGGGGTCTTTAAGATGGTGAGGACTGTAGATATTAAGAAAAGCAGCCTTCTGTGAACTTGGATCCAATGTTAATGCGACCCTCCCACCCACTCATTCACTATTCTGTGCATAGTTGGTAACTGGGCATGGCCAACGTAACACTGATGTAACTCTGGCACTTAGCACCACAAAATAACTAAAGCAACAGGTTACTGCAAAAGCCAAACTGTCCACCTCTCCCAATTAAGCATTCAACTGCTTCACTATTTTGGAGGCTATTTAAAAATAAACTACTGTTTAAAGAATTTCAGTATAACCAAAAAATAGAACAGATAAATAGCATATCGTTATTTTTCACTTTTAAACAAAATTTTCAAAAATATAAATTTAACTAAGATATTAACAAGTATCAAACAGAAATATAGGCACAAGGATAACCTAAAGGAGGGAAGGGGTGGGGGACCCTTGAAGCCAGTTGGATTGCAAAGGCAGCTGTCCAGGGAAGAACAGAAGAGCCTAAACTGTGCAATTGCCAATGGCCCATTAATGCAGAAATAGAATGGAGTAAGCTTTAGCTGCTCTACAAAGCCATGGGAAGGGTCCCTTCCTTGGTGCAACAGCTTACCTCTCCTCACCAGTTGGGATAGCTATGGGATGGATGAGACTAGACTATGGCAACTTGGGATGTAAAAAGAAAATGCAATCTGCCAAATTTCATATCCCAAACTTAACCCACCCAGCACCAACACAAATGAAATAAAGAAAACTGGACCCAAAACAACAAGCAAGAGTAGTCTGGGGTCTGCTAGTCTTGCACTTGTTTTGGGGTATGTAATGGGATGTTATGGGTGTGATTTTTAGTAATGGGGGTGGGTAATGGTCACTAGCAGAGCGGATGGCAAAAATTGCATAGAGGATAGTATCTGAAGAGTTTATGACCACAGAAAAATGGCTGACAACTACTGACAATTTCCCCCTTGATATTTGATTAGAACATGGAAAGAGGGAAAAAGAAGCCTTTAAATTTGCCTTTTAAAATCAAATTGATCTGAAAGAATATCCCTCTTCAAGTTTAAAATAAAAATCTAAACTCCAAATCACTCCTGTCTAGTTCCCAATAGAGAAGACCCACCCAATTTGTTATTCTTTTCCCCACTAGGCCTGGCAGAAACTGCCATGCTAGATTAGACTTTCAGAGAGGAAGTAATCAATGCATTTCTGTTTATCAGCCAATAAATGGATGTGGTCAAAAATAATGAGTGCCAGAGGCACCACTGCCTGCAAGAAGTACAGTTTGTTATATTGCTTACAATGCAGTATTTTATCCAGCCTCTTCCAGCCAAGGACCTGTAAACGGGAGTCTGTTCCAAAACCTTCCTCCTCTTCCAGTTGTCTGTGCAATGTATTGGCACTGTTCTGCTGGGCTGTCAAAAAAACTGGTTTAGAGATGCAGCTCTTCAGTCAGGTTTTGCGCCAGTTCTAACCATGTAAATTTAAATCTTTTTCCCCCAATATTATAAAAGGGGGATTAGGGATAAAGAGGGCCACAGAATTCTTTGCAATAACAGCTTACCATAATGTTCCATGTTTAATGATTAGAACCGGGCCTATCTAAATTAAACTCATGAGATCTCAGGCCCACTCCAAGGAGTCAAGTGTCCACATGCCCAAAGCACTCTCAGAACAAAGCTTGCATCAGACATCTTGTTGACCATTTCAGCAAAAAACAAAACAAAACAAAAAAAAAGAGACAAGCAAACAAGCAACTAGGACCAAAGTCCCACCTCTTTAGAATGGTTCCTCCACCCCCTGGGGAGAACCAGGATCTAAGAACAGGTATTGGAGAAGAGGGCAATACGGAAAAGGAAGACAGAAAGAGGGTAAGAAAGAGATTACATTCTGGTGCAGTCTATGCTCTCCTAGTTCTTTGTGCAATTCTTTCATACATTTCCACATTCCTAAATTCATGCAAAAACTAAATGAACAGAAGCTAAATGCAATGAAATATTCCTGTACAGGCAAAAAAAGCAGGGGTGGGGACTCAAAGTAAGATCCCTGTATCCTGAGGAAAACACAAAGCTGAGGTACAAGTAGGGATGAGAGATACAGTGTGTGATGTTACGGAAGCACCTTCTAGCAAAAACTAATCATGCAAGGCAGGGAACGACATTTTAAGGAACGGACAGCTGAAGCCACTGTATTCTTTTGGGAAACAAAAGGATGAACCCTGAGTAAATCCAGTCTTTGCGATTCTTGTTGCAATCCATGTAAAGGATGAGCAAGGAGGATGACAGCATTTACATTTGTACAAGCATTTATTTACCATTTAAAAAGTGAATACATCATTGGTGTATATCATGCATTTGTCCACACTATCAAATGGTTTGAACTGTTCAAATGACACCAATTCTGAAGTCCTTCTCAAACCAATGGAATTTGAGTCTAATTAATGAAATTTATTTTAATTTTAAAATCATTGTGCTTTAATCTTCTCCTGAATTTTGAACAGTATAACTAACAGATTAAGAACTAAAATAAACCTGAATGCAACTGAAATATTTTTATCAAAATCATGCCACTGAAAAATAAAAGATAAGAGGTTCCATTTTTTCTTAATAAATCTATATTATTCACTTAGCAAAGAGTCTGAAAAATGCAAAGCTAACCAATATAATAATATTAGTAATAATAACAACAACAATAATAAATTGTCTTTGGGACAAATTTCCAAAATCAAGTAAAAATATTAGCCAAAGAAATGCAAGCTACTACAAATACAATCTTAGTAGAAGAATATTATCTAGAACAAGCTTCTGCTTACTTACCGGAGAACGGGTTTGAGGTTGCGAATTCATTGTCTGAGGGGCTTGAGGGTATACCAACGTGGTTGGACCTGCATTCTGTCCAGAGGGATAAGGGGTCTGTCAAAGAATGGCAAAAACAATATCACACTGTGAATAAATATGGCATGGTGACTCAAGTTCAAACTGTTTAAAAAAGTTTATATTAGTATTTACTAATGCAGTTTACAGATCTACTTTTTAAACTCATCTTTATGACAATATCCAACAATCCAGAACCAAATGCAGCATTGTTAGAGGTGACCTTAAACCCCCTGATACATCTAGGTGCAATTACTTGATACTGTGAGTATAAGTATCACTGTCACTAGGATTTTTTTGATTTTGAGTCCAACATTTAAGTCTAAATCATTATGAATTTATTCTTGTGTGTGGTATAAGAAGATGGTCTATTTTCATTTTTCTACATGTATCCGTCCAATTTTCCCAACACTGTTTATTGAATAATCTATCTTTATCCCAATGGATGTGCTTGCTTCCTCTGTTGAATGTGGGTTTATTTCTGAGTTCTCTATTGTGTTGCACTGATCTATGCATCTGTTTTTATGGCAGTACCAGGCTGTTTTGATTACTATGGCCTTATGGTATAGTTTGATTTTACATAGCATGATTCCAATTTTGTTTTTCTTTCTTAAGATACCTGTTGCTATATCGGACCCTTTTGTGGTTCCATATAAATTTTTGAAATATTTGTCCTAGTTCTGTGAAATATGTCTTTGGAATCTTGATAGAAATTGCATTGACTCTCTAGACTGCTTTTAGTACAGACATTTTAATGATGTTAGTTCTTCCTATCCATGAATATGGTATGTGCTTCCACTTATTTGTATCTTCTTCAATTTCTTCTTCAGGGTCTTATAATTTTCCGAGTATAGGTCTTTTATCTCCTTGGTTAGGTTTATTCCTAGGTATTTTATTCTTTTTGAAGCAATTGTGAATGGGATTGTTTTCTTAATTTCCCTTTCTATTAGTTCATATTGGCATATAAAAAGTGCAACTGATTTTTGGATAATTAATTTTGTATCCTGCTATTTTGCTGAAGATTCATTTACCAGTTCTAGTAGCTTCTTGGTGGAATCTTTGGGGTTCTCTATGTATAGTATCATGTCATCTTCAAATAAAGACAGTTTTAATTCTTCCTTTCCAATTTTGATGACTTTTATTTCTTTTTCTTGTCTGATTGCTTTGGCTTGGACTTCCAGTACTATGTTGAGTAAGGCAGACATCCCTGTCTTGTTCCCTTAAGTACTTCTTATAATTTAAATTGCATGTATGCCAAAAGCTGATTCATACTCTGTACACAAGTAGCTTCATCTAAATGCAAGGCATAGTATGTGATGACACCTACACATGGAAGTGATTCCTCTTTTACAATATATGCTATCATGCTATTAAAAGTAAGATTTTAATAAAGGGCCAGGCAGTGAAAGGCAGTGATCTCACCTTTAACAGAAACCTAATCAACAAAACAAAGAAACAAGCAAAATATAACCAAAGACACTGAAATAGAGGACAGGCTGACAGTGACCAGAGGGGAGAGAAGAGGGAATTCCAGGGGAGAATGGGAAGGGTTTACAGGAACAAATTTAAAGGACACATGGATAAAAGCTAGGGGGAGAGTGGTAATGGGAGGGAAGTGGGGAGGACTGGGTGGGTGGGCTGGAATGGGAGTAAAAGGGAGAAAACTGTACTTGAACAATGATTAAAACAAAAAAAATTTAAAATAAAAAAGGATTTTAATAAGGGCATTAATGAAGAATTTTGCCAATAGTTCACTCAGTTTTCTGTTAGAGCATTTTTCCATTGTGACTAGTTTTAGCTATTTCTTAGGAATAATGTGACTTGTACCTGTTGTTGCAAGGAGTGCACCTGTGAAAGATGCCTCTATGCTTTTCATCTCTTCTCTGCATTTAATGACATGATTGACTAAGTTTACTGGATTAAGTTATCCTGGAATAATTTGCTTAATATAGTAGGAGGCTTCACTGAAAAATATTGTGAAAAACTTGAATGGGAACATTCTATGAACATGTATCATCACATCAAATGCACAGAGAATTGTGGTTGTGTTTGTACTTCCTCTTTTTAGATACCTTCAAAGTTACCACAAAGATTTACTTCTCTAAGGACATATACAGGAATATTTTATATTTATACTGCTATCCAGTTCACAAATGTAAATGAGTTATAGACATACATTCTCAATTTCATTATTACTTTTATGTTTCAATGAACCCTTGAGTCACTGATCCCTTTTTACTAACTGGGGAGGTAAAAAGACAATAGTAACAAAAACAACTAGCAAATGATGTTACCTGACAAACCAATAACAGAATGCCAGTGAAGACAAGTCATTCAAAACAGCCCCTGTGCTACATACATAACCTTAACATCCATAACAACTATATGAAAAACACTGATTTGGACAATTAAAGACAGAAATCTGAGGGTGAATTCATAGTAAGACAGAACACACCAACAAAGCACTTTGCCTCCAGATGTGACGATTTTCAAAATACTGACATGTGAAAAAAATTTACAAGGATTTTCTATTTTCATAATATAATAAAACTTAAGCCAACAAAAATAACTAGCAGAAAATATTTATATAGCTCTTATATAAACTATGCTCTTATGTATACTATGTTTCAGGCACTACTCTAAGCACTTCACATACAACTCAGAGAATAAAGGCTATTTCTCTTGTTTTAAGAGTCTTCCTTTACCTTAAATAAACACTGCCATGAAGACATAAGATCAATATTGAGCACATGTGTGCATACACACACAAATCTGACTGAATTAACACAACCTTTCAAAGAGATAGTACATAATACTTACCAAGTTTTAAATAGCCTATCCCTTTGACTCCATAATTTCATTTCAATGAATTTACCCTATAGACACACTCATAAAGTGGGGGGAGGGAGGAGATACAAAAAAAAAATCTAAATTTCCATTTACAAGGGAGAGCTGAAAGCATGCTATTATATTCAATCAATGTAAGAATATAGTGTAATCTTGGAAAAAATGAGGTAAATCTACACGACTGTCATGGAAATATATCTATAACATTAAGTTCCAGAAGCAAATTGTAGAACTGTTGAATATAAAATCACCCTATTTTTGCAGGTTTTTAAATACACGCATACAGTATACCCATAAACACAAAACTAAAATGTCTTAGGAAGGTATGTAGCAAATTTAACATTGGCTACTTAAGAGGAATGTGAATTGGAAGGAGAGAAAACAGGATATGACTGGTAAGTCTTATTTTATACACTTCTGTATTTTGTATTTTTCCCTTTTCTTGGGTCTAAAGAATTACTTTATAATAAAACATAATGAAGATGCCTGCCCTTTAGCTTCCCCTTCAAGTGGTATAAAAAGGCAAAGCAAACCAGAAAATTCAGTAGGATGCTTCTGTTTTTATGTTTTGCAAAGTTCCAAATGTTTTTGGAACACAAATGAAATGTCATCTCATAAATCACAATAAAAATTAAATCAAGAATATTTACTGAACTCTAACTTACGTGCTGTGGCCTATGTGCACAAATGAAGCCAAGGATATATGGCTGCTGATTTTTTAACCTTCAGCAAGTTCACAATTTGAGGCTTCTGGTCATGGTGGTGGCATAGGTAAACGCAGTTGGTGCTTGCATCTTCCCACAACCACATCAAAAATACAACTAACTACAAAACAACCACCATTCAGAACTGCCTGAAATCTAGCCGAATGGAAGTCCTAAAACTAAGGATACACAGAAGCCACACAGAGACTGGTAGCAGGGGCAGAGACGCTGATGGGGTGGGTTCCACACCCAACTGTGTGGCTGAAGGTCAGAGGCCACTGTTCCTTTGATGGGCCCTTCCCCGAGTCTGCAGGCAGGCAGCATACCTAAGTCTCAATCAGCCTGGCTATCACTGTTCAACCCACCCTGGTGATTCCCTGAGACCCTGACACACCAACTTTTGCACCCACCAAAGCTGATACCAGTGGATTTCCATACCAATGGCCTGTCTTGACTCATGTTTCAGACTTTCCTAAAATCTCTCAAACAAGCAGCATCTGGTCTCTGCATGCCCTGTACCTCTTGCTAACTGGCTCCAGGCCCCGCAGTAGCAGCAGCTGGCCTTGGTTCACAGGTTGGCCTCATCTGGGTACCTCCAAGCCTAGCACAAGTAGCAGCCATCTGCACATCACTCTATAGCTCACTCTGGGTGGCCCCAGGCAGAACACATGCGGTGGCCAACCTTGGCCTGCATCTCCTGGGAGGCCCCAGAGCCAGTGCACCAAGTGGACAGCTTCAGGCCACATTGAAGCACCACCCAACTACCTCCACAAACAACACACTCAAAGGGTGGACTCTGTGGGCACCAGAGCCTGCTAAAATAAGTCCTGCTCCATGGGGGGAGCCCCTGCATAGCTGATCCTTCACGGTGGTCAGAGATAGTCCCTGCAGCCAATCAGCACAAGGGTAAATCCCTCCCACTGACATGTCAACAGTAATCAAGACTCAACTACAGTGACCAGCTAGTGTTGAATGGGGAGGCTGTGCCACTGGACCCTCCAGGATACCTACTGCATTAGGCCACTTTATCAAGCCCAGTGGACAGAGCAGCTCTATCTAATAGACAAAAACAAACACAGGGATGCTGCCAAAATGAGGAGACAAAGAAACATTTCCCAAATAAAACAACAGAGCAAAACTCCAGAAAAAGAACTACGAATAATGGAGATAAGCAATCTACTAGATGCAGAGCTCAAAATAGTGGTTATAAAGATGCTCAATGAACTTAGGGGAAAAGTAGATGAACTCAGAACTTCAACAGTATAAAAAAAGAACATGGACTATAAAAAAGAACCAGTCAGAAATGAAAGATACACTAAACAAAACGAAGAATAATTTACAGGTAATCAACATTAGAGTAGATGAAGCTGAGAATCAAACAACTATCTGGAATATAAGAAAGCAAAAAACACCCAATCAGAACGTTAAAAAAAAAATCCAAAAAAATGAGGATAGGGCAAGGAGTCCCTGGGGCATTTTCAAGCGTAC